AAAATGTTATTTGTAAAGTTGAATTGAAGTGGGTCTTAGTTTTCCCTCCAGCAAGACTGCAGGCAAGAAGATTTCATAGACCTTCATTTTCACCCAGTGTGGCTGCTCTGAGGTTCTCATGACCAGCCCTTCACCTGGTGTGGTGGGGGTTTTTTTCAGTTTTCAATTAATTTTCAGATATCTCAGAATATTTTTTACTTGTTGAGTACTATATAAACAGTATTGGAACAGATGTGTGATATGGGACAAATGACCTGATTTGACAGTCACTGAAGCTGCTGGAAATGCTAAAGGCTGTGAAGTTTCCAGGAGGTTCAAAGCAAGTTACAGAAGCATCAAATTACTCTCAATTGCATTCAATCAATAAGCACTCTAGTCCCTCCACCATGGCCACTGAATTCACTCTGCCAGGAAAATACCCTTCCTGAAAATGGTGTGTTTAGCATAACAGTGCATTGCATTGAGTGCAGTGGGTTGGTGAGATGGGAGAGTTATGGTGTCACATGTGCTAAAAGCTCATCTGCACACCCACAGAGGAGCTCAGAGAGGCAAGAGTGTGAGGGGGAGCCCAAATAATGCCCTGCCCCAGCTGTTCCCATGCCAGGAGCCATCAGTCATCAAAAGCCTTTCTGCAACAGCCCAGAGGGCACATAAAGGCAGGAACCTTTGGGTGGGAACCCAAATTTAGGACATGGACAGAGGGACATCCTGTCTGAGCCTCTCCCAGGGCTGTCCCAGAGGAATCTCAGTCCCTGTGACCAGGCATGAAACCCACCCAGATGGGTCTGAGGTGGGGCTGCTGCCTGGGGCATGGGACACATTATGGCCAGAGTTGTCTCTCAGGGTGATGCCACAGGGAATGGGCTGCTGAGGACCAGGGGAAGCCTGACCAGCTGTACCTGTGTGTGTGATGGTCTGTACCATCCACTGGACTGTGGGGGTTGTGGCCCTGAGGGCTCAAATGTCCAGGTGCCAGCAACTGGTGAGACGGATCTCAGGGCACCTATTGGGCAGAGTGAGTGTCTGAGCTGAGCTGCTGGAGGTATCTGGCTTGTACAGATGTCAATATAGCTGTAAATTTTCACCAGTGGAACGTTGGTTCAGACAGAGAGGTGAGAAGGATGAGGCCATGGGAGCTGAGTGCTCCATATGTCTGTCTCTGTTACCTGTGTTGCCAGCTGTGTGTGTATGAGTATATACACCTATATGGTGTGTGCACCTTGCAGACACACACATGCTGAGGCTCAGTGCTGTGGGAGCTCAGGCATGGAGCTGCCCCAGTCTTGCCTCTCTTGGACTGCCAGACTCAGCACAATATGTTTTCCACTGGTAATGGGCTTGCTCCTTTATTTGTAATGTCAAATGCAGAGTAAGTCCAGGAGAAGAGTAGAAAGATGGGTAGTATTTAGTATCATAATTTCTCATTTCCTTCCTTTTGTGGGTTGAATGATAATGTATGCTACAGGCATAAAACTACCCCACAGCAAATAACCTTGTTGGTGTACTAATTTTGTAGAATTTGAAACCTGATGGTTGAGGTGGGGGCTTGCAGTGAGTTGGGAAGCTTGAGGAGCAACAGGGAGAGAAAAAAAGCAAACAAAAAACCCATCTGCATATAAACCTTAGTGTGTGTATTAACTATAGGCTAGCATTCACCAATGCACAAAGTTTATGCATCAAAATCTTGTGGAACAATGAGTTTCAGATATGAACAGGAGTGATTTAAAAAGAAAACACCTCTAAGTCTAAATATGATATAGACATAACATATTTTAACTATGTAAACAAAAATGAAATGCCAATGTCCTTCAAAAAAGCAGTCCAAGCTCTAAATTAGCTGGCTCTTGTTGAGAAGAATATGAAAAGAAACCAGAAATACTCCCAAGGAGTAAATTAGTCTGTGTACAGAAATTCTTCAGTAGGTGACCTAGTTTTAAAGATCATTGGGAATTTACATTCATTGCCTGTAGAGAGACAGGGTGACCAGGGAAATGCTGCTGCATGGAAACGCATCCATGGAAATAGTGCTGTTCCCTCATTGACATAATTCCACTAAATTAAAAGAACTGATGTGGAGACTGAATATGTCCCTGTGTTTTCACGTTTGAACAAAAGGACCATAAAATGTTCATTTTAGTTTAACTCCCAACCAGATCTTCTGCAGCATCATAATTGCCTAATTCCTATTTTTGTTTCCTTTTCTGTGACATGAGATTTTTGCATTCATTTGTTATCAGTGGAAGTATTTGTCCTACTCCAAGGGAAAAAAACAAAACCAACCAACAACAAAAATGATCATTTCATCAAATCAATCATATTTTACTAGACTTACATTTTCTTTTTTCCGTCAGTGATACATACACATACATCAGGAGAGATAACTACTAACATATTTTATCTATATGGAGATGGAAGTTTTGGCCTCTAAGGTTGTACAATTCTTCACTGTTGAGCAGCTGTTTTGTATGACTTTTGGGTGTAATAGTTCTGCAGTCAAACCCTTTTGATTGCCAGGACTTCTTATTCAGGCTCCAATTCTTATGTGGATTTGACTTTTTTATTGTATACTTATGTAGGTATATAGGCATATATACATATACAGGAATGAAACATATAGAGTGGAGCAATGACTGTGTTTACAAATGGCTTTATTCCTTTCTCCTTTCAAAGGAATTTACATTAACATTGCATGGTATATATTAGCAATAATGTTTTTGACTATGAAACCTAAGTCTAAACTCTCATCAAAAGCATCTTCTGAACAAAAGTGCTTTTTCAAAATGTCTTATTATTTTTTTGGTTGCTGGATCATTTTCTTACATCAATGCCTGTCAGGCTCATAAGTATTTCAACAAATGTAATAATCTGGATACACCCCTTGAAAGTTTTCTGAGTGAGGTGGAAAAATAAATCTGAAACAAAAATCTATGTCACCTTTCTTTAGATGAAAAGGTTCTGTCTTTGTTCTCTACATGATCACTGGAGCAAAATGTTATTTCTAGTGTATCTTCTCTTTCACAACAGCCTGCAAGAGTGTTCTCTGGGCTAATCCTAATCTTCAGTTCCCTCTTCAAAACAAATGCTTCTGATGTGAGGCTACTTTACAGGAAGCGTGACCTCATTCCGCCTCTGTGCCGCTGATTGCACGGGTTGTTTTCAAAAAGAAACAGGGGACCTCATAGACCTGCCTCTCTGAAGAGCCAGGGCTGATCTCTCCCAGGAAGCTGCAGCAGGAACACCCTCCACCAACTGTCTCACAGGCTCTTGGGCTGATGATAAGAAACTTTTTTGCATCCGTGTGCTAACTGTGAAATGGATTTTTCAGGTTTGGAAGATTTTAGACTTATTTATCTCTTAATAGATTTGTCAGCTGAGGAATAACTAAGCTTTGGGTTCATTTCTATGCTGCTTTTCAGGAAGTTTTCTGGTTTTGTGAATGTTGTTATCTTTACCTGCAGAGAGAAAACACTAAACTGCTCTTCAAAAATGACTGATATGTGTGAACAAATAAAACTGTCTTTGTAGACACCTGTTTTTAGTAGGTCCAACAGTATGAAACTGGTTGCCTGGGCTTCAGCAATTTTAATAGTCAGCACTGTATTTTGGTAGGCACTAATGGAAGTAAACTGAGGGCATCATTGGTTTAAACACTAATTTGTTTTTTGGAGAGAAAGGTAATTAAAGCTGTGGTTGGGATAGTGACTTTTTGTATATATTGCGACATGAGCTTTTGTGTGTCTTGAAATTCAAGGGGGTTATTGCCTGAAATTTTTATTTGAATCCCTGACATAAAATATTGCCACATTCACCTCAGATTCACTTTTAGTGAGGTTTCATAGAGCTGTTGGCCTTTTCTCATGACACAGTTTAAAGGTTCTCTCTGGATGGCTCATTTTGTGGATTGCAGATGTAATACTACTGCTTTCAGTGACAGTTGAGATGCTTTGTTTTGGCTTGCTGATGTTGTTATTATAGCTGCTCAAGCTATTAATAGACCAGAAATAGGACTGAATATTAAATGAAAGCAGAACACTGTGCAGCATTGTCTACAACATGATGTTTCCATGTTTTCTCCATCACTGAATTATGTTTTTGAGGAACTCTCTTCATTAATGCATGAGACAAAAGTTTTCATGCTCCAGGGTAGCAAGAAAATCTGTTGGGCTCTTCACAGAAGCTTGGTATTACTGTTACTTATAACAGTTTTAAAACAAATTACAGCTGCTTATGAACTGTTCTCCGAAAGAGGGAAGTTCATCTCTTCCCCAGTAATATATTTGCATGTGTATATCACTTTCTTTTATAAATAAATTTATAATAATATAAATGTATATTCATATAGATGT